TTCCATCATTTTTATAGTCTCCTCTATTTTTTTAATCAGTGTATTCTTTAGAAGCACTTAGTACTTCTTTGATTATAGTTACCACTACATTTTTTAGTTCCAAAATTATTTCTGATCCGATTTCTTCTATACCTTTCTGCAGTTGATTCTTTACTGCCAACGCTATTATTCCCAAGATATCTGGCGTGTGATTTCCAGTTTCCTCAGTGCTAGTGTCTTTTCATTTGTACTGGGTGGACTCGGGGCCTGCGACTGCATTTTGTTCCTTCTCTTTGTCATTTTGTATACCAGTGTCTTCTGACCTTTGGTGTAGAGCTTAGATAGAGTTATTACCTTAGCAACAAGTCCGGATCTATGAAGTTCCGATTCCTCCAGATGGGTGTTATTTGGATCTGGCTGCTGTGCTCCACTTCTTTCTGCTGCAGCCGTTAGAGTTGAACCCTTTGTGTCACTCTGGCAAGATGTTCTGCTCCTGAATCAGCTGGGTGGGTCTTGCCTGTAGCCTCTTTGCAGGGAGTTCTGCTGAAGGGTTCCGTGCTGGGCCTGCACCGTGGGTCGAATGAGGATCCGTGGGCCCCAGGTCGTCTCACTCACCTGCGGGGCCTGCGCTTCTGGTCTATTCAGGATCCCGCTGGGCCCGGGTCATCTCACTCACTCGCCGGGCCTGAGCTCTGGGTCTGTTCCGGATCCAGCGACCCCAGGCAGTCTCACTCACTCGCCAGGCCTGCGCTCTGGGTCTCTACATTTGTGTCTTATGTTGTCTCTGGCTGCTTGCATACCGTAAGGCCCAGTTGGGCGGTGGTGGCAGAGAGCAGATAACCTACCAAGCCCGGAACACTTTTTGCCTGGTCTTTTAAGAAAAGTTGTGAACCACTCTATGAAGTTGATTCTAGACAGCTGAGTTAGCTTGTGATTGAATTGGGTATATGTACCTGGAAAATTAAGCAAAGAAACAGCAATGTGGGAAACTAAAAATTGAACCAGAAGGGAAAAGTAGCCATGATTTACCACAAGTTGACAGGATTTCCTTATAAGGGTGCACTTCTGTACACCTGCATGGGGACTGTGCAAAGGATATGCCCGCATAGGACCAGGAGGAGAAGGTGCAGGAAGACAGCAGCTAAGGCCAAAACTGAGGCAGAAATACAGTGACAAGTGCCAGGTGCTTGACTAAACGAGGTGAAGATTGATTCCTGTGGGGAGGAAGAGACAAAGGGAGAGGGACATTTTTATTCAACCCTTTTTCAGGCTTTAAGCCTTTTACACCTTTAAGCCTTTTACACCTTTGACAAAGAAATACACTCTTGTGCAATGAATAACCACTAAAACAATATGCAATGTATTAATTACTGAATATGTGCCAGTAATCGATTGTGAAACTGTCTCATTGATATTTGTTTCTCAGTAAAATTATATATATGTAAAAGATATATATATCATATATATGAAATACACTAGGGGTGCCGGCGAGATAGCTCAGTGGACTAAGTGCCTGCTTTGGCAAGTGCAGGGACCATGGGTTCAATCCCCAGTCCCAGTGCTGGGCTGGCCCTGCCCCTAGGGTGCACTGAGCCAGTGCATGAATCGGTGCTGGCACATGCCTGTACTCCCAGCACTAGGGAGGCAGAAAACAGGAGGATCACTGTAAGTCGGAACTGCATAGTAAGACCTTGTACCAAATACATAAAATGAAAGAAAGAAAGAAAGAAACATACACACCCTGGGAAATAAGACCCTTTGCAGGGTCGCAGATGCATAGTCTGAATGCTGCCCTTCCCCTCATATCACCAGTCACCCCGGTTTCATTTCCTCTTGACTCAGATGTGGGCCCAGCATCTTGAGAATAGCCTCCTGCAGCCTCTTCCAATCAGTAACCGCTGTCTCTGCTCGTGAGGCTCAGGTCTCTGACCCAACTAGTGATCGGGGTCTGGCTTCCAGACTCCCACCAAGGAGCATTGCAGAGGTACATTATGCAGCCCAGCATTTAACTGAATGACTGAACAGGCTCTGATTTAGCTATACTTTAAATTCATCTGGTCCACATGATGTTCCCACTTAAACACATGAATGTACAAAGATATAATTTTTCTCAGTAATTATTCAGATACAGCACAGTTTCAAAGTTTTACTTTCAGCATGTAGAACAGGACTTAACACATACTAAGCTAGTGAATGCTGTAATGAATGCATAAACAAATTCTATTGTATAATGAATTTTAAAAAGCCAGTAGGCCTTTAAAAGCCAAAACAATCCTTGCAAAAGCAAAACATGGTTCAGTAAATTTATTTGGCTTTTCCAAAGCCATGTTGTGATTCTGAGTGATTTCACTTCTAAATTAAAGTAGCTTTTGTCTTTTTTTTTTCCTAACTCTTAATAGGATTTTTCCAATTAAGGATGTGCCCTTGGAGACTGATGACCTCACCAACTGGCTCTATCAGCGATTTATTGAAAAGGAAGACCTCTTAGCCCATTTCTATGAAACAGGTACAGTCTGTTCTGTGATGCACATCTGTGAAGTTACTGGAAGTTCCAAAGGATTACGTTAGGGGAGAGAACCATTTGTTTTTTGGTAATACAAAGAAATCATTGTTTCTGTATTTAAGAATTTCAGCTTAGAATTCTTATAAAGGTAGATGTACATTACATGGAGAGGCCCTCGCCAGGCTGCAGATAAGGGTAGCAGGACCAGTAGGTGGCCACATGGATGGCCCAGTCTGTGAACAACAACAGTCACTCCATACAGCTGTGGGACTTCTTGTGAAGTAGCCAGGAACATTCATGTTTTGACATCTCACTTGATTGTTTAATATCTAGTCATTAGAGGTTTTTTAAACTGCATTTTTATAGGTAAATTTTTTATGTAAATATTTACTTTTAAGTTTTCATGGATACAAATTTAGTGTTTCTCCTTTGAATAAAAAAAAGTCTATTAATCCTAAGCTGCTTTCTGTTTTTAATATTATCTGTTCTATACAACTAAAAATTCTGTAAAATGCCTCAAGGCACGGTAGTGCATGCCTGTAATCCCAGCTACTTGGGAAGCTGAGGCAGGAGGGTAACAAATTGGAGGGCAGCCTGGGCTATGTAATGAGACTTTGTCTCAACATCTTGTTAAAAAGGGTTAGGGAAGTAGAACCCTGGGTTTGATCCCCTAAACCACAAAACAAAAGAAAATTTCTGTGATGTGGTAAACATACAGCGACTGAGGGAGGAAAGATAGAAGAAGAAAGGAAGTTAGCATTGGTACAATGACTGGCAGCAAACTGCTTTCATAAAGTGCTGTTTTTCTAGCAGTAAACAAAGAGAGGAGGTAAACACATCATTGTCCTAGGGCTGGATATCAGGGGGACCGTGGAAGGCTTAGAAGCCTGTGGCTGGTAAGAGGCCAGCAAGGGCCCTTTCCTTTTCCACCTCAGTCTGCCACCTTGGGCTGTTCGGCCTAAATTGTAGCACCAGTGAAGAAAGCCTCTTTTTAAGAGAGCTGTTTGCATGTTAGACCTTGAAACTTGAAGGTGTGCTCTGTACGTGCTTGTGAGCAGCAATCCCCTCTGGAGCAGCTTATCCTGGGGATTATCTGCCACGCAGGGACTGCAGAGCAGAGGGAGCAGAGATGACCTCAGATAGTACTGCTTGGAAGCTAGCTTTAGAAGAAAATGTGGAGACACCTATTGACTTTGTTTTCTCCTTTTTATTATTAAAATATCGATAACCATCTGCCTGTTGAAAATAATGTCAGTATAATATAACCACTTTTGGTGGCAAAAAAAAAACAAAAACAAAAACAAAAGCTTTTAAGTAAAGGGATCAGTGTAAATTCTGTTCACCAAGAAGGGGCTTGGTGTCAGTGTCACAGCGTGGGTCAAAGTTGCTAGAGCTTCCTTGAACAGCGGGCTGCAGAGAACCTGCTTGTGTTGGATGGGAGGAGAATGATGAAAGCAGCAGAGGGGGAAGTTCCGGGAAGGAAGCGAACCTGAGGAGCAGGAAGGGGTTGTGGGCGTGTGTCCTGCCGGAAGAGGCACAGGCAAAGGCCAGGCCGCGGGTGGTGTGGAGATGGATGGAGTTCCAGACAAGCCCTCTCATCAGGAACAGAGCCAGCTCACAGAAAACCATAATGTAAGGTAGACTAAAATACGCCTTGTATTCTAGGACCTGCCCCAACAGGGAAACATTTCTGTGTTGTCTTTTAGGAGCCTTCCCGCCTCCCAAGGGCCATAAGGAAGCTGTTTCCCGGGAGATGACCCTCAGCAACGCGTGGATATTCTTCATACAGTCTTTCGCGTTTTTGTCAGGCTATATGTGGTACAGCATCATTCAGTATTTTTACCATTGCCTGTTTTAGATACTGACTCAGACTTGTCATAGGAGTTCAGACTTTCATAAGTGTGCATTATTTACATGTGCAAATCAGAATATATAAAAAAGCAAAGGAGATTCAATGGAAGAATTACTATTTATCCCCCTTTGGGATATTTTAAACTACTAAAATGAGGATCAGTAATAGAATGACCTGCTAATATATTTTAAGAACTTTTCATGTCTTAAAGCGATACACTCTACCACATGTTTAAGCAAACATCACATCTGGAGAAGCAGAAATCATCAAACCATCCTTGAAGACCGAAAGAAAATCTGTGGCCACCAGCTACCGTTGGTCACTGGGTTCCAGCATGGGGGCTGGGCCCACCCCTCCCAGGTAGCATTTCTAGGCTCTGCCCGGCCTTCCCACAGACACCTGTGCCGTTGCTGTCACAGTGAGCAGAGTTGGACCACCTCCAGAAGAACGGATTCAAACTCCAGCCCCATTCCCAGGCCAAGGAGCAGCATTGGCCTTCTCTGGGGGGTGGGCAGTTTCCATCACGCTCCTCCTGGCACAGGCCATGTCTTGGAACCAGTGCGGCCAGCACCGTGTTTACATGTGCTGGTGCTTTCCCTTCCTTGGGGGCACGGGACGTCTGTTTTCTCCTTGTGTGTAGAAGGCATATCATAGATTGATAATTGTATTTTATAAAATGCACTTTTATCAGATGCAGATATAGCCAAGGATAGTAATGTACCCTGAAAACACAAGTGAGCCTCTGCAGCAAGCACCTCCCAGAGGCTTCCCTGTCTCTGCCCACTCACCCGTAGGTGCTTTCAGTGCCACCCTGCCCTATACCCCTCCTGCCACGATGCCTCAGTCGTAGCTCGAGCCCCCTCCCCATTTTGACATAGCACTAAGTGTATTTGGGGATGGTTGACACAAATTAATGCAAAACATTTACATGATCAGCTTATAGAAAGTAACTAGTTGATTAGGAAACTAAGAGCTAGAGCCAAACATTGTCCTGGAACAGTGATGAGCGCTCCCCTCAGCCACCGACCCTGGCCAGCCCCATGCGCCATCGCTTACTACATCCAAGCCTTCCACGTAGGCGTGATCAGGAGAGAGCAGCACAGGGCTTTCTGGCCTTGGCCATCTGCTGGTGAAGAGGATAAAGTCAAGCTTCGGTTCTTTCTAGGAAGCCTTTTCTTTATTTGTCATTATGTGCATCTGATTTACCTCACGGGAGAACCAAACTCCTAGAAAGTGCTGTACTGCATTAGTGTTAGATCACAGATGTCTTTTGGCTGAGGACGGAGGCTGTCGAGATTTCTGTCAGTGGTAGTTCTCTGTGATAAGAGCTTTGTAGATGCCCCTGTTGTCACTAATCTCACAAACAGTAATTCTGAGAAGTAGGTTGTAAAACAAAAAGGCTAATGTTTTCTGTTTTCAGATAAACCAAAAATACTGAAGACATGTGAATTTTTCCCAGTTATGTGGAAAAGGTGGAGCAATACCAAATAAAAGCCCACAACAGCTTCATCTTTAGGGTAGCTCTGAGAATACATGGAACAGCAGCAGCAGGCTGTGTTAACTGAAATACCTCATGGAAATTTACTGCTGCCACACTGCAGCAACAGTGTTAATACAAATGACTTGGTAACAGTTGTTATAGAATGCAATGTTGTTGAAACCTCAGTAACTAGTTATGTGTTCTGCAGTGACAGTAAGTGAAGCCAGTCTCACCAGATGACAGAAAGCCAAAGAGAAGCTGTCTCACACTTCTGTTTGAGGCTGGCACACACCAGTCAGTGTCAGGATGAGTTGGAATTGTTGTTTGAGGTGTAGTCGGCCATCTGGGGAGCAGTTGCTCCCTGCCAAGTAAGTGTGCGCAGTCCTAGCTACTAGGCTGGTCCTCATCATGAAGCCTGCCAGAAGTAGAGTGGCTGCTTCTATCCCAAAAGCATGCCTCCATGCACGACGTGTGTGGTGGCCTGGCCACTTTGCCGTTGCTGTGCTCCATGGGAACATGACGTTGCTGAGCCCACTGTGCGCTTCAAACTCTCCTGCAAGATATCCTACTTCTCCAGTGCAGTGTCCTTTCCGTAGTCTCCAGAGTGACACCTACCTACTACCCCTGTGTGAGTTGGGTTCTGAATATAGATCTGTGAGTTAGTAACAGATGTGTATTTGACCTGCCCTCCTCCTCCCCTTTCTGAACATGTGTTGTCTCCATTTGCACAACATGTTACTTGAGAACGTTGGTTGTACTTTCCTGATGAGCCAGAGTTCATCCTCTTGCACTGGAAGTAAGAAAAGAAAATCTGTTCTATTATGGCTACTGGGGAAGAGGGCAGCAAGATGCCACTGTGCAGAGATGAATAAAATGCCTATCTGTACTTGCTTTGTAAAGACAGAGGCAGGAGGTTTTCATCTTGCCAAGGCTAAAGAAGACAAAACTGTCCCCAGTTTGCAGAGGCGTTGGTTAGGATCTTGCCAGTTCTCAGGCCCAGCTGGTAAGCAGGAGTTTGCGCTTGCTGCCGGAGTCCTGGGATCAGTGAGGGATAGTGTTTGAGCACCTGCTTGCCCACAAGCAGGCCCAGTGACTGTAAAAGTGACCATAGTAGCAGCTCATCCTTAGCTTCCAAAAGAACTGTTGGTGTTGAGATGCACATGTGACAGGGATACCCACAAGCAATGAAAGAAAAACTAGAGTAGAAAGTGATGTTTGGGGGACAAACAAGTCAGTAGAGAATTGAAATAGGTGTTTTTAAAAAGACAGCTATGAGTTCGTATCTATCGTATTGTTAAATAGTCATTGATACTACATCCAGTGCTTAATTTTCCATGGTGAAGGAACTAGAGATTAAGTCATAGGGATGCCAGAAATTCAGTTCTGTGTAGGAGTTTGAATTTCTTCTCTCATCAAACATTTTTTTCCTTCTAGAAGGATCCTTACTAATTTAAAAAATTATATGAATTGTTCATTAATTTTTTTTGCCCACATTTTTATGATTGTGTTACGGAGTAGTGAAAGGACATGGAAGCACCAAAGCTCAAGCAGTCCATGGGCTGAAAAAGGAGTCCCTGGATCGTCAAGAGTTGATGGGGCCTGAATTGTGCTCAGCCTTTGTGAAGTTGAACCCTTGGGTTCCCCACTGTCACCTCAGAAGGTCTCTGGTGTCGTCCCTCTGGGCAGATGTGGAGAGGGTCACTCAGTCTCACTCACATTGCTCGTGTGGGTTTGTCTTGGTGATGTTCTTGACAATCACTTCCACAAAGACTCTTCTGAACTAGTTGGTCCTGGTTATAATCATAGAAAGTAGTCTTTAATAATGGGTAGTTTTCTTGTATTCTTTTTATATTTAAAAAGAAAATGTTTTATTTGCACTACTGAATAGGAAGAGTTAACTGTTGTCTCTGTTCTTTTTTTTTTTTTTTGAAGTCACTACACAGGACTTCCCTCCAGAGTTACCATTGTGTATATATTCAGCTCTGGCCCACAAGGGATGGATAGAAATTATATATATATATCATGGCCTTACAGTGCTATAGGCCTTCCGTCTGTAACATGCAAGGCAGAGTCTTCAGGAGCACTGGGTACCAGATATAATGGTTCATGTTATGAGAAGTAGAAACTAACATGTTTGGGACCAAAACCACATAAGTTGCAAATTTCTTGATCACTAAAGGGCCGAGCGTACTCTGGAGCACTCATTGCTTGGTGCTTTATTGGAATCATTTCATACCAGTCCCCAACAACTAGGAGCTGGACCCTGGCAATATTGCTGCTGAGAGTGCCGACCCTGTTGGGGAAGGGAGACTGTAGCCATATGGAAGATAAAACGTGGAGTTTTCTGCAAAAGTTCCATCTGAGGATTTTTACATTGAATATTTTTTAAAAATGCTTTAAGAGCAAAAATTGTAAATGTATTCTAGTTGCAAAATATACACACATATTGAATTGCTTTATTTTTATTGTGTAAAACTGTTGACATAACTGTGGTGCACAAATTCTTTACATGTAAGGAGTCTATGCATTTTACAGGAACTTATTTTATGATTGGGTAATGATATAGTTGTACATTCAACTGCCATTATTTTTATTAAGTGCTTTCATTTTCTTTACAGTTATTACAAAGTTTTATTTATTTTATAAAGATGGATTTTCATTTTCCTGATGCCGTAATGTTTACTTCAGCTTGCTGATCTTTCTCTGTGTATCTGCATGTTGTAATGTGTGCTGAGAATGAATGGAAAGGCTGTGGCAGCTGTAACTGATACTTGTAAAGGGCTGGTCACACACGGATCTGGTTTAGGAATGCATTTGGGGCTATATTAGGAGCCAGATCCCCTTTTTGGAAATTGAGATACGAACCAAAACAAAGGAATAGATAGCTGGTTCTATTTTTTTTTTTCAACCCAGAGAAAATAAAGGTTGTTTGTTTGTTTTTTTTTTCCAAGTACAGTGTTTTTACTTCTTCATAACGGGGCCAGGATGTCTGTTGTACAGAACTCTGTTGGGCAGTAATAGCTGGGAGCATTTGGCTCAAGGCCGGTGCAGTGGGCTGCCGCTCACGCAGCTGGAACCGCCAGGAGCAGCACGCTGGACTCCTTCATGCTCAGAAACGCGTGCTCCCTACTCCCCTCCCTCCCCATCAGTGGTGTGCTGCTCAGTGCTTAGCAGTCCGCTGGCCTGGAAAAAGCTGTTTGTACAACTGTACATGAAGTTGTTACAGATTTTACTGATAACAAGGATGTGTAACACAATTAACAAATGATAATATAAATATTTCATTGTGAATTCCATGTAGCTTCCTGATTCTCTTCAGATACCTGGTTGCTTTTTGCTGAACTTCACACAGAGCTGACCTTTGGTTGTATTTCAGCCATGATTTGAGTCATGATGTCGCCTCCTGATTGACTAACTCATCTCCCAGTGAACTCACTGGTGTAATATGTGATCTTTTAAGCTCCATTTCCTGGTGCAGGGTGTTGAACCTAAGGCTTCACATATACTAGCTGTGCCGTTGAGCTACATCCCCAGGCCCAAGCTCTTGTTAACCTGGTATAAAAGCACTTTTTAGGCTCAGCACTAATTCAAGTTCATATGATTTAATAATAGCAATTGTTTAACAACTGCTGGAAAATTCTAAATTTGAACAGTTGAATCCAGGGAGTCAGTAAATGCTGTCTCCAGCACACCACACTGCCCTGGTTTGTTTTATATTAAACTATTTAACCATTAGTGTTGAATAAACATCTTGCATTTAATTTATCCATGGGTCTGAAAAAACCCCTATTGTTGACCATGGCGGGGGCTTTAAGGCATAGGAAAAGCATTAAGATCCATCCCACTGAGTGAGCTTTTGATTTTGAAGATGTGACAACAAATTCCTGAAGTGCAAGGGAAGAGTACAGCTTTGGAAGTTGTCTTAAGGTTTTCATCTCTCAAAACTAACTGTGGTCTAAGCATCACGAAGATTATGTTTCATGCATTTAAAGCATCGAGTGTTTAGTTGATTGTCAAGTATGTTTCATCCCACTGAAAATTTTAAATGTGTTGCTTTATCTTGCACACTCTGCCAAATAATTTAAATAGTTCCAGTTCAGTCTACCTCTTTTTCAATCTGGACTTACTAGGCTGCTGTGTGGTGAGGAAGTACTTTCTTTGGAGACAGAATGCACTAGGCTGAGGCCTGCAAGTGAATTGAAACACTCAGATCTGTTGCTGACCAGCCCTGTTCCTCCTGACCTGGGGGAGCCAACTGTTCATAATTCCCCCTCAGTATGAAAATGTGTTTTTAAAATGTTTCTTCTTGCTGAAAACTGTATTTTTAAAAGAAAATCATCTTTTGGCTCTCAGAAGTCAGCTGTATGAGGTGTGACCATATCATAACATGCTGATATAGAAATCAATAAATTTTTACCTCTCAGGATTTGGGTCACCTTGTTCTTCACTCTTAATGGCTTGACAAAATCTTCACAGTTAGGATCAAATGGGAACGGCCACAATATGGGAGGAGCTTCGTTACCCCAGACATGAGGCAGAGCCCTTCTGTAATCAGGAAAAGAGAAGACTCTAGGCCCTGCTTTCTGCTGATGGCCAGAGCCTGGCAGGGGTGCTGCCTCCCCTCAAGATTGCTGGGGACAGCCTCAGACTGGAGTGGGTGAGGGGCTTCTGCTGTCTGTCACACAGGGGACCCAGACAGGATACTGCTGTCTTCGTGGGCCATTGGGAAGACACAGTGAACTTGAGGAACCTCCGCTGCAGACCGGGTACCTGTCCCAGCAGAAAGGGAACAGGCTTAGGGAGACAGCATAGACGCCCCCAACATGCAGCCTTCACCTGGATGCTGTGTGCATGTGCACTGTCCTGAGAGGGTGACTCCCAGTGCCCTGAGAGGACTTCCACCTGCTTCAGGCAGCCGCTTAGCAGAAAAATGGCACCTTCCGGCCACCACTCATCCAGGATGCCCAGCAAAGGGACGTGTCCACAGGGCTGCTTTTAATCAAAGCATCTGTAGACCATGATAGGGCCTTTGCCTTTCCCTGACTTGCCCCATTCTAGATAAGGACCAGGGATGGGGTTGGAGCTGTTGGTTTTGACAGATTTGTGGGACAGTGAGGGCTCCCAATAGCACAGAAGTCCACATCACCACAACTTAGGGCATTGGCCCAGGGTCAGTGTCACTGCTCTGTGCCTTTGGTTAAAGGGAGTCAAAGGGCCAGCCCAGATGCAGTGTGTGATCCCAGTGGGTGGCTGCTTGAGAGCTGTCAAAGTGAGACATTCCCCAGCTGTTCAAAGAACCTTCACGCTTTGGCAAGACTGCCCACAATTCCCATTAATTGGATATATTTGAGTTTCCTAATACTTAACGAAAATTGGATCTCATACTGTCACGTAAGTCTCATGGACATCTGAAAGAAGAGAAGCTTTGGGGTCAGGGGTAAGTTGGATCTTGCTATGTAGTTCAAGCTGGCCTTCAACTCACTGTGTAGCCCAGGCCAGTCTCATGTCAATGATACTCCTGCCTCAGCTTCGCAAGTACTGGACTCACAGGTATGAACCACCACACCAAACTGATTTTTGTATTTTTCATGCTGATTGGTATTTGACTCATTGACTCTTGGGATTTCAGAACCATTATTTTGGGGATGGTGGATATCATCCCGGTACGATTTTGGCTTGTTGCTGGTGACATTGGCTGCTTGACAAAATTATGAGGACTGAAACCAGCTCTCTTGGTTCCCATTGTTTCTCCAAATCAAATACCAAAGATTAAGTACATTTGCTAAAAGGGGTAAAGTCTGCCATAATTTCCTCTTCCTTCTTTAAACACAAGAATCTCCAAACTCTAAAGGTTACTTGTATGTGTTTCTCTTAGCTGTTGAGGTAGTTAATCAAATTAAAAATTCTGAAAACTGATTTTTAATCTTTTTGGGTACAGAAATGAAGTATGCCTTCATTTCAGATAGGAGCAAGTACAGATTTCATTCATAATAGTTCCTTTTGTTTTCTGATTTCCAGAAAGGAAATGGACAGTGGGTAAAATCCTACACCATGGTTGCATCTAATGTCTAAGTATCCTTCCACCATGGCACCAAGAAATTCGAAGTCTTAGCTGGTATAATGGCAGCAACTTAGGAGGCAAAGGCAGCATGATCACAAGTTGCTTTCTGGCCTTGGCACCTCAGCTGTCTCAAAATACAGTCCCAGCTCATCTCAGCAGTGGAGAGCTTGGCCAACATGCGTGAGGCTCTGGGTTCCATCCGCAGCACCAGAGGTGGCCGAGGCTGTCAGGATTTCATCCAACTAGGAGCCCAAAGCAGGGCTTGAATCCCAACTCTGCCCTTTGGCAAATCTCAGCTTCTCAGCCTTGCTCTGCTGTGTGTCCAGTGGGAAAGTCAGTTCTTGTCAGTACGGAAGAAAATAACAGGTGTGAAGTGAGACACAGAACAGGAGCACTGTGCTGCTCTGCCCCAGCAGGGTTTACAGGAAGTGTGAATTATCCCGTCCTCATCCTTACTGTGCCTGAGCTCCAGTGCCCCACTCCCTCGTCTCTGGCCATTCACAGCTGTCAGCCTTTCTTTCAGAACCCTGCCCAGGTCCTTTGCATCTTTAAGGTAGAGGTAGCCAGCATAGCCAAGCACTGTGCCTGATGTGTTGGAGGCCCTCAGACAGCAGCAAGAAAGAGATTTTTGGTGAGAGAAGCAGTTAGGAAGGGGAGGAGATCCAGCCTGCAGAGAGATGATCTGCTGGCCCAAAGACCTTGCAGTCCCAGTAGGAACTTGCTTCTGAGACCTGATATGACTTGCGGTGAAGACCTTGAACTTGTTCTCCAAAGGAAGGGAAATGGAATTTCTAGTGTTTGGAAGCTATCCACCAGCCCGGGCGTGTCTCTGCATAATTCATGTGATTCTAAATATAAAACTTGGCACTGAAAAGCATTCAGGAAGGTGAAAGGAACGCGTTTTTCCTCGCTAGTTGTAGAAGTCTCTGAAGTTTTTATCTTTCTGGTTTCTCTTTTAGGCAAAGTCTGGCTATGTAGCTTATACTTGTCTTGAACTCACCATGTGGCCCAGACTGAGAATCTGGCCTCAGATCCTCAGCAAGCCTCCTGCCTCAGCTTCCTGAGTGCTAGGAGTACAAGTGTGTGTGCCACCACACCTGGCAGTGTGCCTTGTATCTTGAAAAATGACATTTTTATCTTTGCGTGATAAAAGCCACATGTTCAACTCAGGAGCTGGGGTACCCGAGGATTTAAACCTCTTGTGGGCACGGAGAGGGCATGTATAGAGTGGATGACAGGCAGGAGACGCGGATGGCATCACAGAGATGAGCTGATCTGGTGCCCAAGGCAGGGACAGCGTCAGCCCGCAAACCTCCCGAGAAGGGAGAGAAGCCCTGAGGCCCAGGTGGCCCTGGCCGTGCCTGGCAGGACGGCCTGTCACTGAGCACCCCCTCCCCCTTCCTCTCCAGCCTGCTGCTTGGCCACCTTTCCTGGAAACTGCGTTGCTGGCCCAGCTGCTATTGCCGCAGTCAGAGAAAAGAGCTTGTAAGGGTTGTGGGTCGCCAGGGCCAGAACGCTGTTTCCCTTTCCCCTGTTTCCCCGGCTCACAGGGTCCTTGTGGGACCAGGTGCAGTGTGCTGCGAGCGGGACCTTCACACCCAGTGTTGGTCGTGGCCGCCGCGCGCCTGGCACAGGCTGCTCCACTCAACTTCTCTTTCCCAGCCCTATGTGACACAGGGTCGCAGTTTGCCCGTCCACAGCTCACAGGTGGGCGGCGAGATGGGGGTGGGTCTTCCGGCTGTGTGGGGCATTATCACTGGGGGAAAGAGGGGCTGCGGGGGGCGGGGGACGACACTACAGCTCCAGAGTAGTGGCCTCGCCTGGCCTTCCCACCCGCCTTGGTGGCAGAGCCCTAATTTTGCTCATTTGCTCAACTACAGATGAACCTTGATTCGCCTAGACTCGCGCTACTATGCCCGTGATTGGCTGATCGGTGATGCAGTCTGGCCAATAGCATCCAGGGGGCGCCCACCAGCAGTTTCTGGGAAAAACTCGCATCATTGCCCCTAAGGACCTGAGCCTCTAGCTAGCACCAGATGCACCCTGCTACCCCTACCCACACCTTCCTGTTTCGGTGGTTAACGCTGCAGCTGTGAAGCTGGGCCCTGGAGCAGCCACAGCCATCTATCTGGTGAGACAGGAGATTGCCCAGGCCTAGAATCCCAGCACCCCAGGAGGCCGAGGCAGGAGGATGACAAGTTCAGTCCCAGCCTGGGCAACTTAGGAAGACCCTGTCTCAAAATGAAACCTCGGGGGCCAGGGAGATGGCTCAGTAGGATAAGCGCTTGACTGACAAACGCAAGGATCTGAGTTCAATCCCCGGTTCCGCAAAAAAAAAAAAAAAAGTAAAAATGAAACCTGGGGAGGCAGCTCAGTGCAAAGGCCCTGGGTTCCATCCCTAGTACTGCAAGTAAATAAGCAAAT